TGAAAAGTATTCAATCAGTTAAAAAATTAAAACGTCTTTATACATTTGTGTATCTGTATTATACTTTTTAAAGAAAAAAAGAAGATATAAAAAAGTTATTATAAATTAGACCAAGAATTTTTTTAAATATATATATATTTTATAGCTATTATATTATATTATATTATATTATAGCTATTTTCATTATGTAGTAAACACAACATAGATAGATTTCATCAAAGACTGAAATGTAAAAAAACTAGATCTGTACAAAAATACTTAAATAATAATAAATACAATTATCTTATACTTTTTTATATATTGTTTCTATACAATTAACTTTTTCCTGGACCGCAATTTTTGGGCTACCCAGTATATACATATATATATAATATAGTGCTATATAATATCCCACATAGCACGTAATATTACAGAAATATCATAGTAAAATTACAATATACCAATACTAGTAATATATTAGATATTATAATACAATATTACAATAATATTATCGATATATTACATTTCTATATACGTACTAGTTATTATAATAACATTGTATTATATCTTAAGTAGATTATATATATAGATTATATATCAAATATGTTTTTATGTCTTATGAACGTTAGAGATGTCATTGAACGTCATTTACTATTTAGCACGTTGCATACATCGCATTGTATCTTATATAAAATATGATACATATCTTTTGCTATGTTGGTGCGAAAACCCTACAACTTTTGTTTTAAACGCTTTGTTTTCAAAATGTATTATATCAACAAAAAATACTTTGTGTGTGTATAACATTTTTTCTATATACTTATTTACTATATAATTATTATCATATATAACAAAAGTGATACATACAAATGTGTATATACATATTTTTATATATCATTTGCTATATAATATTTTTTAAAAATTTACTATATTAATTATATGTTAGCAAAACACTTGTTCACGTTGTAATAATATATTTTAAATTATATTTAATAATAATAATAATACAATAATTACAATAATAACAATAAAAATAAAAAATACTTTTATTTATTGTTGTAGGTACATTGCACTGCAATAGTTTTAATAATATAATAACTTAAATGAATAAGAAATAAAATGAGTAGAATATAGCTTGATAATGAAGAGATAAAAGAATTATATTTCAGTAAAGAAATGGTCTCGCAGACTAAGTGCAGGAGCTACGAATATAGAGATCTCGAGTTTGAATCCTACCATTACTTTAGGATTTTTTCCGGGTCCTATTATCTTTCATCGAGGTAATCAGTTGATCAGTAAATTGAATCAGGCCTCTAAAGAGATTAATTTGAGTGAAATCTCGACTTAATTGCTCCTCGTACAAAGCAATGTGTCATTGATTTTGTTTTTTATATTACCGTAATATTCCTGTGTCGGGCATTTCGTTGGACATTTTAATATTACTGTGATATTACATTAACATTACGGTACTATTTCTATTTAATGTAATAGTGTAATATTGCAATAGAAAAACAATATTGCAATAATAGTACGTGTTATGTGGGATTATATCGTACGATATTTCTTGAGTTCTCTTGAATACTTTTTGGACATCATCTACGTTATCCGTAAGATATCACTAAAGCGAACATTAGTACAACGTATGGACATCTCTCAGATATCTGAGACCATTTTGGAATGTCTTACGGATGCGATATCTCATAATAATATCTGTAGGATATCCTTACGATAAAGTGTGCTGTGATAGTATCTTTTTCATAACAAAACGTTCTCACGTACATTCAAATTACATCTAAAAGATATCCAGAGGACATTTTATCGTTCTCTGGACGCTTTTTGAACATAAGTTTTTGTACATGAACGATCGAGATCTGTTGAACTTTATTACATTTGTTTGACAGATTTTATATCATTTAAAAAAAATATTTTTATTGCTTTTTTGTATAAAAAGTTTACCATACTACTACATTACTAGCACAAAATTACTGATGACATTTGGTGCCAAAGTTAACCAGTAATATTTTTTTGTAAAGAACGTTGTTCACATTCCAGAAAAAATATTGTATTTTTTTATTTACCTTTTTAAATATCGTTGAATTTTTGTATTTAGAGATAAAGTTTACTTATGTTTATAAAATAGAGGATACTTTGGTAATTAGGTCTAATAGTCTCGCAGTCTGGATGCAAAGGTTACAAACAAGGAGATCACAAATTCAAATTCATTCAACACCTTAAGAATTTTTCTGGGTCAATCCCTTCTAATCGAGTATATAGCTGAAAGGCAAACAGTATCAGGCCCTCAAGAAGAAATAAAGATGGAAAATATTTCTTATAGAAATGCCGAGTGATACTATTGCCAATGTACTACTATTTTAGTAATAAAATTGTTATTATTTTTCTGTAAAAGTTCTAAACAAGTACCAAACATTTTTTTCGAAAAATTAATAAAAAAGATATGGTTTTTATATTTTGTAAAAGTTCTTGGAATATCTTACACATATTGTGTAAAAATCCTTGGAACCCCATAATCTCATATAATAGCCTAAGAATAATTTAGCGACTAAAAACATACACTTGCACTTATTTGCTTATCCTCAGGACATTCAGAAGAGATCCTGGGATTAAAATAAAATATTTACAAGATATCTGTTTCGTCCGTATAAGATGTCCTTTGGATTTCCAGAGAACGTCCATGTGCTATCTGGGAGATATATGTTTATAACTTAAAGATTTATATTTATAATAATATTTTTATAATAAGAAAATTTATATATATATATTTTCTGTTTATATTTATATTTATAGTTATAAACTATAATAATTCAATGTTATAATAAAAATTAAATAAATTTAAAAAAATTACTTAACCGTTAAATAAATTTTAAAAAATTACCTAACCTGATTACATTTCTTATATCTAAGATACAATTGTGATCAAAAAGTTTTATAAACCAATAAAATAACTAAAAAATACAGATAAGAAAACCTACTTGTCATAATTTACTCGTCTAATTTTACAAAAGTACTTATAAATATCACATGCTATGTTTTTAATAATAGTTATTTTGTGCATAAAACTAGCACAGTAGCAACCTACAGTGTAAAGAAAAATATTTTTCTTTATTTAGCAAGCAAGATTAACTATGTGACAACTAACTCCGGTTTTCCTTACAGTATGTGTAAGCGCAGAAAAGACTTTGCAAAATTTTGTCTTCAAACTTACATAGTATACTTAAAAATAGTTTTAAAATGCAATCTCAAGTAATATTGATGCAGGCCAAAAGACACAAGCTGATAGTATGTTGAAAAAATATTTATTCTAATATATATGATAGGGGAGACCGGGGCTGGTAGGCCAATTTTTCAGTATTTGATTTTTAATAAATTATATGAGCGAGATATCGTTATAATGGTTAGTATATCTTATAAGACATATATTTGACTATGTGATTAAATAGTAAAAGTAGACTTAATGTTACAACGACTGAGGTATTTTAATATTTTCTGAACACTTGTCATGTTAGTCAACTAGCCCCACGGTCGGGGTTGGTAGACTTACAGTATGGGGTAGGTTGACTAAAGTATAAGAAGTAAAGAAAATGTTATTAACAACTTAGTGGTTTAATACAATGGCAAAAAAGTTGTTTTATTACAAAATATTATTTATCTTTTTTTCATACTTTAATAGTAAACTAAATGATTTCTCAACACAAATTATAATGATTACATATTTATTAAATTTAAACAAAACATAAAAATTGCTTTTGCAACAAAATACAGTTAAAAATTTTTAATATTTTAACTTTTTTTAATATACTTTGAACTTTATAATATCGGTTATAATATACTTTAAACTTTATATCAACAAAAACTTAGAATATTAAATCATAAATACCTATATATGTAAACTTCTTGTTTTTAATTTTTTACTTAAGTTTTTCTTAAGGCTGAAACACAATTTTTACATTTGTAGAAAAGCAGACTACTTTTTGCACAATTTAAATGGGTCCACATCTTGCATGAAATACACTGGATCCATTGTTCAATAATTTTTTTGAAGTTGAACCTCTGTCTGATTTTCTTTTATATGTCCTCATTATTCTATAAAACAAGTTAGTATTTAATCATTATTTAGTATAATGAAAATTTAGTAAAAACTGATATCACTGAAGTTGGTTGACTAGTTAGTCATATAATCCCAGACGTTATTAGCCAACCAGCCCCGAACGATCATTTTGTCTTTAATGCTCTATCTTAACTTTAAATTAATTATATATAAAAAAAATTACTGCTTCAATAGTTTGTTTAATAAACAAACTTTAAGATATTCTTTTAACATTTATCCTATCGTAACTATATACAGCATGAGAACATAAAATCTTCAAGAAAACATATTTACTTACGCAGCTAATTTTTCGATAAACGCTAATAATTCTGAAGTAACGTGCGATCACGGCGTAGAAAACAAATGAATAGCATAGTAGACGTGACTTGTTTCTACAGAAAATTTTTCCGCGACAAAGCACATATAGGTGCAATGTTATTAACAATTAGTCTACCTACCCCTATAGGCAACTAGCCCCGGTCTCCCCTAGTGCAGACATATTAACTCTGAAGTTTGATGCTTATGCATTGTAAAATAATTTTTATTTACATAACTTAATTTTTGACCACCATATTTTTGGACTTTTAAATCATATTTTTTATACATTTTGACTATGATGTATATTGAGCGACTTTTTGATATTAGTTTTTACATTTTTATCGATCTTTGACATATTTTTTGACATAGATTTTTAGGATATCCAAATCATACACGTTTTTTTAAATTTATTATTGTAAGTAATAATATTCAATTATTATGATAATATTTATAATAGCAATCGTTATGTATATTTTTTTATTAGATTATTTTACATTGATAAGGTCCACATTTTATAGTAGAACCGTGCCGTCTACACCATAACATATAGAATAAATACATATATTTATATATACAATATATAGCTTCTTCTAAAAAAAAACAAATTTGTTTATTACAAACAAATTTTCAGTCTCAAATGTTTCTTTGTGACAAGAAAGTATTATACAGAGGCCTTTAATACTTCGCTTTGGCAAGTAGAAGCTTCTACTTTTACATTTTTTTTTCTTCTGCTGCTACTGAGTAGTTGATTGATGATGGCTAGCGACAAAGAGGGTGGAGATATTGAACATCGAGACAAAAGATAAATAAATAAATCACCTGCAAATAAAATAAAAAAAGTTGTAAACACTTATATAACAATTACAATAAATATTATGCTCTTGCTCTTTAGAGACAAAGAAAGAAAAAGACAAAAACTAAATATTTCTACAATTTCTTATAAAGTTTTGTTAATGAAAAAAATAATAAATGTATTTCAATTGACTTGTCTTTTTTTCATTAACGCACCTTGACTATTGTGATGTTTTTTGTCTTGATGACCGTATCACCACCCTCTCCGCCGTCGTCAATCAGCTCTTCGCTAGCAGCAGCAGTAGCAGGATAGTGAAATATGTAGAGATGGAAAGTTTTTTTCATCCTGTCGAAATGAATTAATGAAAATCTCTATGTATAAAACCGTTCAAACTGTTCTACTAAAATTTACAAAGTGCATAAAACACTATAGCTCTCAAATTAAAAAAAATGACGAGATATTATATTTATATACCACACTTATATAAGTGTTGCACGGAAAGTGTTGCATCGAGTAGTAAAACTCTTGTAGGAGGAACTTTTCTAATGACTTTCTATTTCACATATATTATGAAGATTATTATCTTGAGTAACAATCAAAAGATTTTACTGTCGCTTATTATTTCTTAAAAAGTCATTAACAACAAAAATTTCATAAATAAATTCTTATTTTCCGACACTGTACATATTTTAGACATAATATATATGATGTGTTATATACACAAATATTTAACATACAACAAAGCTGTCTTGTTTTGTTGGTTTTAGTCATAAAGATGATCGAGCTATCGCAGGTAAGTCTCACAAGAGAGGTCGCGAAGTGTAGGTCACCGATTTCAATAAGGTTTTTTTACAGTATAATACTGTACCAGAAGAATACTTGAGCAAAGGGATAGGACGCACTTCTCAGCCATTTTTGAGAAAAATCGATTCAAACTATATGGATTTACTTATATACTGTTACGTTAGAACGGTTTTCCAGAAGCGCGGTGTAGCGCAGGTACTTAAGCGCCTGACTACTACGCTTGAGACTAGAGTTTGATTCCCGTTGGTTTTTTTTTTTTATGTAATATAACAACGTATATACGTATATTTATGTAAAATGAAATTAATTTCACCACTAACTTAATTTGGTAATTCTGCAGATTAGGGGAGCCATCTCCGATTTCAATAATTTTTACATATGTTGTGAAGGTCATTGTCCCGAATAATAATGTAAAGGTTTTAGGCCGCGGACGTTGTTTGTTAAAAAGTTACGAGGGGAAGAAGTTTCATGAATGAATTATTTTTCGGTTCCACGTACATTTTGTTCGCGTTTGAAGCGCGTATGCAGAGGGGGCTGCGCCCCCCCTGCACCCCCCGAAAACCTAACCTAATCTAACCCCCCTCGGGAAAAAATAACGACTTCCGATTACATTCGCTTCTTGTGAAAACTGGGTACTTGATTTTCGAGGGAGGAGCAAGCGGAGGGGCAAAGCTTCTTTTGGAGGTTAGGTTAGGTTAAGTTTTAGAGGGGTGCAGGGAGGCGCAGCCCTCCTGCCTACGCGCTTCAAACGCGAACGAAATGTACGTGGGATCGAAATCTTATGTTTGTTTTATTTAATTATTTATTCATTTATATTTTCATTTATTGGATATGTAACAGACATTATTTCAAAAAAAGCGTCCAATCGTTTATCAAAAACCAACGCAGTACATGTACAATTGCAGAACACATATTCATACATAGGATGTCGAGAAATTGCATATTGTTCAGTAGACTTCTTTGCCTTGTAACTTTTTAACAAACAACGTCCGCGGCCTAAAACCTTCACATTATTACTCGGAACAATGACCTTCACAACATATGTAAAAATTATTGAAATCGGAGGTGGCTCCCCTAATCTGCAGAATTACCAAAGTATTAAAATAAGATTATAACAGTTTTTTCTTTTTATGCTCTTTTTATTTGTATCATTTGTACATCACTGTACACATGTGAGCGAGAGAAGTGCTTTGCCTCTCTCTTTCACGGTAAAAAATTTTTCATATAAACTTATACACAAATTAAAATTATTATATCTAATTATGCAAATTTATATGTGTGTGTGTGTGTGCCGAATATGTCCATACAATTTTATACACGGAGAATTTCTTTTTTTAAGAGAATGACTTCAGAGATATTCTATATCAAATTACAAAATAACTCTATTAGTATCATATTAGATACAAAAAAATTATATAAAACTATATTTTTACTACATTTTTAAAAAAGTTTTGATATATAATCATATATATTTATACACAAATTAAAATTATTATATCTAATTATATAAATTTATATGTGCCGAATATGTCCATACAATTTTATACATAGAACATTTTTTACTGGGTTGCATTCCTTCCCCGAAAAAACCTAACCCAACCTAATCTATCAATATATCACCGCGATAGTAGTGTACATTGAAAAGCATTGTGCATTGCGTGAAACCTCGCTTTGCATGGAAAGTGTGTACATAGAGGCAGGCCTCTTTTTCAGTGTGGCTTTGTTATTAAGAAACTAAGAGACACATAGATTTATATCGAACCTCGATTTGCGTAAGAAGTTGAAAACTTATGGAAAACTTTAAAGTAAGATTTAATCCAAATCTATGTCTTCTATTTCTTAAGTAAACTTTCGTTTTTCAATACATCCCATACAGCACCGAAAGATTGCAGTAACATTGCAGAAATCTTACAGTGAAACATTGTAATATTGCGTGATATTTGCGAAATATTTCTGCAATGTTACTGCAAGCTTACGGCAACGTTGAAATGTTCGCCTTCAAAAATATTATAATGTAAGACTATAGTAATGTTACAAAGCAATGTATTGTAATATTGAAAGGCACAAATATGCAAAATGTTCACAATTTAATAGATAAACTTTAACAATATATAAAGACATGGGAGAGAGATGAGAACAAACTCGTTGCTAAATTGGTTGCTATAAGTTCATAATCTTTTTGCACTCGAAATTCACAATCAGATATCCGATCGAATATAAAAAGATTATGAATTAACGCAAGGATATGAGTTTGTTTTCATGTCTTGGATATCTTTATGTTATTGAACTTTATATATTTTCAAAGTTTATTTATTAAAATTTGAAGTATCTTGCATATTAAAAACTATGAACGAATCGTTGGTTTTATATAAAAATTAGTACACAATTTTCTTTTGTCTAATTAATATCGCTATTTTATTTTATTATATATATTGCATTTTACTTTTTATATAATAACAACAGCTTTTTTCCTTTAAATTTTAATTTANTTTTATGTTTGTCTTATGCTCTTAAAGATGCATAGATAAAAGAAAGAGAAGACGACAAGTATAGATTACAATTGAGATACAAAAACGCGATGAACTTGATAAAAACGTCACTCATCGTCTCGCGTTTTTTTCTTTTTTTTTTTTATATACATTTTGGTATTTATACAATTCGCAAATATACGTAATACAATATATATATATATATATATATATATATATATATATATTGTATATCAAAAATAAATAAATGTATATACCCTATAAGCGCATAATATTATTTCATATCAAGTAATATTCTGAGTACATTTTTAGAATATTAAACGTACTATTAATATTCATAGAATATTCTAGAATATTCTAAGAATATTGTGTGCTTATAGGATATATATATACGGGGTGTCCGACTATTACTTTAAAATTTCTCGTAGGCAGGTAGAAGAAGTTAAACTGAGTCGAAAAGTCTTGAACCATTTTTTTTCTATTACATATAATTACTCTTTTATTATATGTAATAGAACAAAAATGGTTCAGGACTTTTCGACTCAGTTTAACTCCTTCTACCTGCTTACGAGAGATTTTTAAGTAATTGTCGGACACCCTGTATACATATTTGTTAGTAGCTATTCAAAAGTTTTTCTGATAATATACTAGAATTAAACATACTATAATGAAATATTGCTAAAAAATTTCGACAAAATATTGTTATTATATGTCTCTAAAACATCTTTTCAATATTACATTGCAACTTGCAATGTTGCAACGTTTCTGAAATATTACTGGAAGCTTCGGTGCTGTATGGAATGTACATTTAAGAAGTAAATATTGCGTTTGTATCACACACTATATCGTACACGTGTAGACGAGGGAGAAGCTCCGCCTTTCCTCCTGCACCTCCAAAAATATTAAAACAAGACTATTTTTTTTATGTTCTGTTTGTTCGTGTTGTAAGCGTGCAGGGGAGACTGCGCCTCTTCCCCCCCATCCTTTTTCGAATCTTGCTTTACGTGGAAAGTATAAACATATGTGGATCTTGCCTTCGTTTTAGCCGTCGTATGTTGTAGCAAGATTTTTTATGAATTTACAACTTTTAACATGCACTAAAGTTCTATGCTATATGTACTATGAGATCTATGCAATTATTGTAATAGACACTTGGAATCTATGCAATGTTGTTTATGTTTAAATGGAATCTGTGCAATATGATTTCTGTGCAAACAAGATTCTAAATAATTGGGATCTGTGCAATGTTGTAGTTTATGTATAAACAGGATATGTGCAATAATGTTTCTGTGCAAACAGAATTTGTGCAATAGTCACTCTAGACAAATAAAATCTTAGTCAACTACGACTATCTGTGCTATGACGACTATGGACAATCAGGATCTGCGCAAAAATTTTTTGTGCAAACGAGACCTTGTGCAACCGTTTATCTGCGTAAAAGAACTTTTGGCTATCGGGATCCTTCCACGTATATTGACAAGCAATGTGCATTGTAACAATTAATGATATTGTAGTAACATAGATTAAGTTGGGTTAGGTTTTTTTGGAGAAGGACGCAGGAAAAAGAACGGAATCTCTTCTTCGTCCACACGTGTACGATAGTGTATGATACAAACAAAATATTTATTTCTCAAATGCACACGGTGTTGGAAAAGAGTTTAATACTTTTTGAACATGAAACTTTCTTTGTTTATGACTTTTTAATAAACAATGAGCGATGGCTAAACCTTTTTGGAGCGTACTCGGGAGGATGCTTGGTAAAAAAATTTTGATATATAATCATATATATTTATACACAAATTAAAATTATTATATCTAATTATGCAAATTTATATGTGTGTGTGTGCTGAAGATGTTCATACAATTTTATACACGGAGAATTTCTTTTTTTAAGAGAATAGCTTCAGATATATATATATATATATATATATATATATATATATATATATATATATATTCCATATCAAATTACAAAATAACTTTATTAGTATCAGGTTAGATACAAAAAAAGTATATAAAACTATATTTTTTGTTATTCAAAGATTACTTCAAAATCACATTGTGACCGTTTGTCGGAGAGATATTCCATATCAAATTACAAAATAACTCTATTAGTATCATGGTAGATACAAAAAATTATATAAAACTATATTTTTAGTTATTTAAAGATCACTTCTTTGATCTGATCTTTGAATAACGAAAAATATAGTTTTATATAATTTTTTTGTATCTAACATGATACTAATAGAGTTATTTTGTAATTTGATATGGAATATCTCTGAAGCCATTTTCTTAAAAAAAGAAATTCTCCGTATATAAAATTGTATAGACATATTTGGCACACACACACACACACACACATATAAATTTGCATAATTAGATATAATAATTTTAATTTGTGTATAAGTATATAATTGTATATAATTATATATCAAAAAGTTTTTACCGGGTGATCTTTATAATATAAAGGGTAAAGTCATTGAAGAAGCCTTCTCTAAAAAAAAAAATGAGAGTTTTATTTATCGAATTAATTGTTAATATTGTCGCTAAATAACAGCTAATTGTTAATATTATCGCTAAATAGCATTATTACACAAGATTTGCATTACATAATAAAATGATATTGTGTGGCAAGTGCATCAGAAATAAGAAATATATTTTCTCTTTTTTCCTTGAGAATAGGCACTGCAATTACATACTTGTTTGAATAGTAGAATTGAAACGGACTGGGAGTAAAAACAGATTAGTAAAGATATAAAAGTTTGCACAGATGTAGATAATTAAGATAATCGCTATAACGATTTCTCGGGAAAATTAGTGTTTATTGATAAATGGAAGTAATGATTACTCGTAGCATATGTAGAAAACAGTCACGATAAATATCTATACATGTAAAATAAATCGTCCGATAAAAAGAAATATTCGTCTGATTCTTTTTGTTTTTTGTTAAACATCTTACATAGTTTTCCATAAATATCTTTGTACTTAATCATATTTTAAATTACTATATATATTATGTATAAATTTGTTTGAAAGTTTCTGTCATTGATACTTGATACAACGATAAGTTTTATACATTCTGTAAAATCTTATTAATTCACATGCATATCGATCGATGCAAGCGAGGTCATCTTCAAGAATGTCATATATCGACTTGCATTAAATACTAATAAAACAGTTTAAGAGTAGGTGTGATACTTGAAGGAAAATACGAGGATTACTCATATTGTCATGAAACCATTTTCGTCGAGTATTTGTATATTGATAATTTGCAAAATATGCGGAAAATATAAAGTGTATTCATAATGCAGAGGACGCAAAGAATTTTGATATTTTTATCAAAAATATGAGTTTTTATAATACAGATTCTCTCGTAGATATCATTATTTGCAAACACACATATATATAATTCATAAAATTTGTATATATATTATTATCATTTATATAATTATATAAATAGATTATCATAGTATACTCATTTATATATTATTTCTGCAAGAAGTAGTAATTTGTACGATTATCTTAATTACATTAATATATTCTTTGAAATTAATAAGATTATATAAACTATTTTAATCTTATCAAATAAAATTAAAATTGTAAACAAATTATCTCTTTAAAACTTTTTTTCAATCCTTTTAAAATAAAATGTCAGTAGATATGTATATAAGTAATATAATTCTATTTATTTTTTACATAATATCGATGGCAATATGTATATAAGTGTGCGTGTGCGTGCGTGTGCGTGCGTGCGCAATATCAAATATTTTTTGAGAGTGTTAAGAAAAGACGTGATTGTCTATAAATTCTCTTCAAAATAGAATATCTTCAACAATTCTCTCTCTCTCTCTCTCTCTCTCTCTCTCTCTCTCTCTCTCTCTCTCTCTCTCTCTCTCTCT